TAGGTGTTACTTAATTGCAATCGTGACGCTAAAGAATTATGTACAGGTGCCAGGTTGGCAAGGGGTGGATTGAGGTAGTTTATTGTGCCAACCTGGCCGATAAACACATGTGGGATTAATTGAAGGGCGGAGAGGTAAATGGCTCGGCGAGCCTCGCCTTTCTTTGTCTCTTGCTCTTTGATCATCGGACCAGTATGGAGCCGCCTTGCTTGTTCTTTGTCTCAATTTGCAAACTACAATACCTGTGAAACACCTTACCCATGGACTGTGTCGCCGTAATTTGAGGTTCAAGACCTGCTTCGCCACACCATTGGAATTTACATCTCTTGAACTGGGGACTGTCGGACCCTGTCATCTGGCTGACTGTTGGTGACCTGCCTTACTGTTTGCTGCTTGTGGCCGGATAGCCTGAATTGCTCTACAGAGGACTACCCAGCAGCCCTCAAGACTTGAAGGACTTCCAGTGTCTCACAACTGTCTCATGGGAGTGAGTTGCACTGAGCCATTTGGACTGCTTTATAATTTAATTAACTGTTTATTTCTTATGTTATATATCTATCTGTATAAATATAATAAAATTATTAGCATTTTAGTTTTGTTTCTCTAGAGAACCCTGTCTAACACACCCATCCCATCCCTCCCCACCCCACTTCTGTAAGGCACCCCAGGTGAGGAGTCGCTTAAAGGCACAAAGACCAAAAGGCCACACAGTGCCAATGTGTGCCAAAGTCAGGACTCGCCACTGTTTCAAGAGCTGGGGCTTTCTAGAGGAGAGTAAAGGTGGAGCAGAAGAGAAACCTGTAATACTCAGTCATCATCAGGAGCTTAAGAAATGCCAGGCGCATTCTTAGGTATCATAACCAAACAGTGAGCAAGTTAAGCAGAATCTCTACCTGACTGGGGTAAATAGGCACAATGTTTTTCACGTGCCAATAAACTTAGGAGTTTCAGAATGTGCTAAGTGCTAGGAATGCAATCTGGTCCTACGAGGGCAGGCGGACAGCAGGGATCGCACGTGCAAAGGCCCTGGGGGTGGAGCCAAAGAAGGACCCGAATGGAAGGAGAATACAGCAAGAAACACCTTTATACGCTCTCTAGCCTTCAGCACCTAACCTTAGCAAAGAGGCCTTTGCCCTTGGAGACCAGTTTATATTATTTTCCAAGGCAGATCCCTTAGGCAAATTAACTGCTCTAAGCCTCCAAGATGCTTTAGGTAAGAGCAGTTTTTGTTAAGAGCTTTATTGAAGCAAATGGAAGGTCCAGTCCTTGCCATCTGCTACAACCAAAAAACCAAACTCTTTGCCATCGAGTCAATTCCGACTCATGCGCCCCATAGGGCAGGGTAGAATTGCCCCTGTGAGTTTCCAAGACTGTCACTGGTTATAGGAGTAGAAAGTATCATCTTTCTCCATTAGAGCAGCTGGTGGTTTCAAATTGCTAACCTTGCAATTAGCAGCTTAATGTGTAACCACTAGGCCACCAGGGCTCCTCTCAAAACTCCACGGGACACTGGACAGGGGAAGAGGTGGCATTCTCTCACATACCTCTTCTTTGTTCCCTTCTGGGTCCTCGACAAACACCATCACCTCTCCTTGCCCGGCACTGATGGTGTCCACGGTGAACTTGGCTGGCTGCTTCACCATGTTTCCGGTGGACTCGATTCCTGTCAGACATTTACATAACACATTAGGAGAAGGACCCCTCAGCCATCACTCACTCACTGTCTCTGCCCTCAGACGGAGGGCAAGGATGACAGCACCCAGCCCCGCAGTTCCCCGTGGGAGACAGGAGCAAGCTGCCATGGCAAGGTAAGACAAGGATAAGCAAACACTTGGCACGTCCTCTGTCCAGATCTCAATAAAACCCAACTCTGAAAATGTTCTGCACAATCCAGTCTGTGGGAAACGTTGTGGTAAGAAGCCAGGAGAGGCCTGGTTTTCGGATACAATGGGAGAGGAGGAAGGAGGTGTGAGCTGGAGGGTAGCTCATTTTTCATGAAAGACCAGAGTGTACTATTGAAATCTATTAAAATTGCATTCAAGATTTTGAGCTTGCACTTAATCGTAAACACGAATCTAAGAACAATTAGTTCTTACAATGTGGCCCTGCTCAGGACTTGCCCTCATGAAGTGATCACTAAAGATAGGGGTGTGGTGAAGAAATCAGATGGTGCTCAGCTATCAGAAAGAACAGCCTGCCATCTGGGGTCTTAAAGGCTTGTCTTAAAACAAGCAGCCATCCAAGTGAGGTATCCGCTGAATCTATATGGTAGGAGCACACTAGCCCGTGTGAGTAAAGGATTGTAAATAATAAATCCAAGATCAGAGGAGGAAATTGTATCAGGGCTTAAATTCTGAGCACCAGGTTAGCACAGGGTGTGGTGTCAGTGAAGCCCAAAGACCATTTTCAGAGTCCCTACTCAGATTAAACTTCCACTGAATTCCTTCAGACCACTGACCAGGGATATGCATGGTCTTGCCCTCAGACAGAGTGCATTGCAAAGTGGATTACTACAGATATAATTAGGCTAAAATTTAACATATGATCACTGTTTTCCCTTTGTTCTGGTTTCTATTAGCGTCTGCTTTCACTTGGGTTGTGGTTTTCCTGGTTTGTTTTGTTGTCATTATTTGTGTGATTTGTCTCTATATGAAATCCAGGTTAGCAAATCTACAGAGAGAAAACTTAGATTAATATTAGCAATAGGGAGCTAGTAATGATGTGTTTAAGAATGAAGAAAATGTCCTAAAATTGATTGTGGTAAAGACTGCACAACTCCTTTAAATATGTTTAAACCACTGAATTGTGTGGTACATGAATTCTACGTAATAAAACTTTTAAAAACTACATTCAATGTTCACATCTTTTAAAAAGGAAGCCTTTTGACATAAACACAGACTCACATGCAGTTGTAGGAAATAACACGCTTTGCCCCGTTGATCGGCTCATCTCGGTTGAGTTTTGGCAGGTTGAGGGTTTGAGTCCATTGCAGTTACCCACAGTTTTGCTTACTGCGTTTTTCCTGTTATTCCAGGAACCTTATCCCAAGATTCTTTCTTTTCAGACCACTACCTTTCTCTGTCCTTTTAGGGCAGGTCAGCGAGTGACACACTCTCTTCGCTTTCCTTCATCTGAGATGAGTTTGATGAATCGTTTGATTAATGAAAGGATATTTTCAATGGATAAAAGATTTTGCGTTGACTTTTTCTTTCCGCATCTGAGACATGTTGTATCATTTCCTTCTGGTCACCATGGATCTGACAAAAAACACTATCATTGTTTTTTCCCCTCCAGCTAAAGTTTCCTTCCTCTCTTGTTGTTTTCGAGTTCTTGTAGAAGTTTGTCTATAAAGTGTCTTGGGGGTGTGGGGTGGTGGTGTGTGTGTGTGCTCTGACCGGAATCAAAGCTCCAGCTCCCCACTATTTCCTGGGGCTGGAAGAGCAGACGTGCTCCCCCCTGCTTCTCAGATGGCCTCTGCCGCTGTGCTGGGGCGGTGGTCTCATCCCTGCTGGTCTGTGCCTGCTGAAAGTCAAGACTCCTCATTTGGTCTTTACTGGTGGAGGCCGTAGTCAGGGGCACAGTGTTTTCTGCGGTTATCGTCGGAAAGTTTTCTGCCTTGTGCCCCTTTCTTGGTCCACTGGCTCCAGCGAGCAGGCCTCCTGTGTTTGCACCTGTGGGCTTTTCCAAGTTGCCGGCCTCTTAGCTCCAAGGGTAGGATACATAAAGCAACAAGAACATCCAAAGGGCTCATAAGATCCTAGTTCCTGCCGTCCTGGCTGGTCTACGTTGTTCCCTCCACCTTCCCGAGACTTCTAAGGTCTGTTGCACATCATGTCCAAGATTTTTGTTACACTTCACGGAGCGAAAACATCTACTCCACCTTCCGAGCAGCAGAAGTTCAAGGATGACTTTAATAGCAACCCTTTTTATTACAGAGCACTTTGCATTTACACACAGGCGTGTTATGAAATGAATCCCCGCCCCCGTGTGCCCATCATCCCATTTCATAAAGTCATAGTTCCTCTCGACTCACGCTTCCCCCCCTCTCTCCTGTACTCCACAAGTGTAGAGAGCACCTTTCACCAGGTCCACAGATTACAACTGGGTCAGTCTCGCCAGTCTCATTGAACCTCTAGATGTCCCTCCGAGGTTCTTTTCCTTGGCCACTGACGTGGGTGCTTTCTTCGACACTCCAGACCTGCCTTTGTTGTCGTTGCTGTGTGCCGTCCAGTTGGTTCTGACTCGTGGCAATCCTACACACAACAGAACACTGTCGTATCTGCCCGGCCGGTCGGTCCTCCCCATCCTCACAAGGGTTAGAGCCGAGCTACTATGGCAGGGCCCATCATCTTGACCCACGTTGGCCAGGGTCAGCCTCATTCTTGCCAACCTGCTACTTGACCAAAATGATGTGCTTTCCCAGGGTCCAGGCTCCCCGAAAATGGGTCTGAAGTATGTGAGATCTGTATTTGTTTCCACTAAATCCCTTAGAGCTTTTTAGTGTTATGTCCTTCAGCAAGTGCTGAAGCATCCACCACCCAGGGGCTGACGGTGAGAGGATGCCAAGCGTAGTCTCCGGTCCCTTATACAGCACAAGCCATAGTCTGAACCTCACACATTGCCTAAAGGGACCTCAAATGGTAATGGGTCTGTTTCCGAACAATCAGGCTCTTTAGTGATCTAAGTCATGATAGGAGAAGAGGGCCCGGCCCCGCCCCTGGGATTAAGAAGAGCAGGTGGTGGCACTCCTGCTATGGTTGTGTGTGGGCGAAATGCTAGAATCCTGCCTGGTAGGGCCATGCTACATTAAAAGAGTCCGTGGGGCATCACTCAAGCGTCTTAGACGCTTCAGAAAGTCGGTGTTATTTCAAAAAGGTGTGTGTGTGTATGGTTGGGTCGGTGGGGGAGAACTTTCTTGATTAAGAGAGTCTAAGAAGAGATAGTAAACAAATTTAATCGAATCTTAATCAGATCTTGGTTTGCATATAAAAAACAATAACAATAATATATGAAAGACAATCCTGGGGACAATAAACTCACTGCCATTGAGCTGATTCCAGCTCACAGTTACCCTGGTGGGCAGGGTAGAATTGTCCCTGTGGTTCTCCTAAACTGTAAATCATTTGGGGTAGTAGAAAGCCTCATCTTTCTCCCACTGGTGGTCAATAGGAATATTTAAATTCAAAGTGGTTATTAGATAGCAGGGAATTGTTATTAATTTCCCCATGTGTGCTAATGAACACTGTGGTTATGTTAAGAGGATGCCCTATTCTTAAGAAAGGATTTCTATTTTGGAGTGACGTTTACTATGTAACTTATGTTCAAATAATCACACACCAGAGAGAAAGCTATTAATGTGAACACCTGTTGGTTCTAGGAGAAGATACACAGGCATTGCATGTGTGTCAATGTTATCCCAATCTTACTTATGAAAATTAAGAAATAATGTCCTTCTGAAGCCCATAGAAAAGGCGGCGGCGGCTGATCCTGATGTGCTAATCCTTCCTCGGCAGAAACTACACTGTGCAGACCGATATGCGACTGCTGTCCTTAAAAGGCTGGGGTGCTCGAAGTCGGAAGCCAACCAGAACACCAAATGTCTGGAAAAGGCTTCAACGTCCAAAAAGGAGCCTGGGCAGATTGGTGTCCTGCTGACTCAGAGGTCATACACAGGATGTCTTAGCAAGGAAGCCCTGCTGTCTTCATGGCCAGGGCAAATCTTGAGGCAGCGTTAGCATAATAGAAGGAGAAATGAACCAGCAACCGGAGGCACTGGCTCCTGCCCCACCAGCATCATGGACTGTGCTGATGGGCTGAGAACCCTGGTGGGGCTGGCATCTGAAAAAAAAATGGGAACAATCACCCTTTCTTCCTTTCAGGGGCCCCCACGAAAGTCACATGGCGGCTCAGTCATCATTCTCCATGTGGGAGAGCAGCCACCTTTCTTCAAATCTGAGTCACACGGCAGAAAGGGGTGTCTAGAGACAGATCAGCCTTTAAGTAAGAAAATGAAGTCATGTGGTGATTTACAGCATTCACCTTAAAGGCAGAAACAAGATCCCGCCACAGAGGGGCGGCTCTACAAAAACTGTGGCGTGCACAAGCAAGGGAATAGTCTTCAGCCTAAGGAGAAACGATGCTCTTATCCACGTCACCGCCTGGGGGAACCTTGAAAGCAGTGTGCCGGGCGGAATAAGTCAGTCACCAAAGGACAGACATAGCCCAATCCCACGTCCATGGAAATACCCTCATGGGCCAAGAAGTGCACGGAGACAACGTCGGTGAGTTTTTACCCAGTGACTGGGGGAGGGAGGACTGGACAGTTACTACTGAAGGAATCCTGGGTTTCGTCTGGAGCAACCAAAAATGTTTTAGAAACTGGTGGTGGTGGGGAGTGCACAACAGGGGAATTGACCCACATCGCGGCACGGAGCACCTGAAATGGGTACTGTGGCAAACGGTATGCTCTATACGAACCAAAACAAACAGTTCTGACTCACAGAGGCCCTCTAGGACCCAGCGGAACTGCTGCCTCCCTTGTGGGTTTCTGAGACTGTCCCTCTCTGTGGGAGTGGAAAGCCTCATCTTTCTCCTGAGGAGTGGCTGGTGGTTTTGAACTGCTGACTTGGTGGTTAACAGCCTAACGGGTAACCATTACACCACCAGGGCTCCTCGTTCTAGGTGAAGCAGCTTCCAAAAGCTCATGGAATAATTCATTACCAAACTATAAAGTAAAACAAACAAAAAATCAGGTTCCTGGGGGATAGGGTGGGGGTGGGAGGGGGGAAAGGGGAGCTGATATCAAGGAGTACAAGAAGAAAGAAAATGTTTTGAAACTGTGGTAGCAATTGTTCAATAACTATGGAATGTCATGATTTCTGTAAGAGCTCCCAATAAAATGAATTTAAAAAGAAGAAAATGCACCACCTTTTAATTCCATTTTCCCACAAACATTTTTGGGCCACCAAAGAATAAATAAAGATAATGAAACCTATTGGCTCTTGATTCGGAGAGCATTTCTCCTGGTGGGGATCTAGCAGCAGAGGACAAGGCACTTACCTCTGCCGTAGGCTCTGGCTTTTTTGGGGTTGAGTTTGGGTTTCAGAGGAGCCCCTGGCTTGAGCTTGGCCTTGGGAAACTGGGACAGGTACGTCATCACCGAGTGCTCATCCACATCTGGGTGAATGATTTCTTCGGGAGTGATGACCTGGAGGAGCAGCACATGGTGAGTGACCACCCAGAGCACACCCCTTCTCCCCGCAGCGGCTGTGGCAGACTGCTCTCAGAGCAGATGCTGCAGACACTGGGGAGCGGGTCCGCTGCTCAAAGACATGACATGCACAAAACCTACATGACAAGATTGGTAGGTGGATTCTGCTTTTGTTTTCTTTTCGTTTTTTAAAAATAAAGGTGCCGCTGTCCCATACCCCCCTCCCCCACCTTGAAGATCTTATGGAAATTGGAGCCCATCTCCAGAAAAAAATGTATTTGCACATGATTCTAGGGCCTTCTCGACCCTATTTTGCCTCCACACTCTCTATAAAAGTCTACTCACACCCTTGGACAAACTTTCCCAACGGGTAAGGCACACCCAATCCCGAGGAAGAAGCAACAAGTGTGCGTGGGTTTGTGCGGGTTAACAGTGCAGGGGTAAGTTGGCCCTTTTCTCTGCTCCTGGGTCTACTGCCTTTCTCTCTGATTCTGCAGCCATTAACATAAAATCCGAAAGAGACGGCACAGTGACAGACATGTAGCTCAATGCGTTACGAGCCACTAGAAAAATGGGGAGGGGCCACTTTCTCCTGAGAGTCAACCCAGGCGGGACAGGTGATGTGGCATCCCACCTGACCCAGCCCTGAACAGCACACACAGTCCTCGCCGCCGCCCCCGCTGAGGGTGCCGGCCAGGTGAGCCACACCTCCGTGGACGAACAGAAGGCTCTGTCTCGGGAACCAGGTTAACCAGATGCAGATCAACACCAGATGTACTGAGCTCCTCTCCCCCCACACTGAAACAGTTTCATGATCAGCCTGCAGGAACAAAATAGCTCCTCGGGTTTACACAGCCGCCATCTGCACATTCCACAGAGGGTTGAATGTGTGTGGACTTGGCCCTTTGGGGCTGGCAGACCCCCGCAACAACTTCACAGTGCCAAGATCATATGAGCGTCAAGAAGAAACCATGCTAGGTTTCTGAGGAGATGAAGAACATACTACACCATTTCCTGAAGGTAGCAGAGCCAGGAAATGGGCCGTGTCGTGGAGGAGAAGTGACCCAAAACCCAAACCAAAGGAACACAGGAAGGTTTTTGATCTTCCATAGAATCCTCTTATACAAAACTATGCTGAACTTGGACCTAAACACCAACTTAGTAGACCTTAGAGGAGCCTAGAATGAATGATGCCATCCATCCAGGGGCACCGGCTAGCCACAGCTTCTGTTGATAGCTACTTTGAACACGGGAGTCATGTTGCTTAATTGTTAAATGGACTTTCTGGACAGAAAACACTGGTTTCTCTCTCTGCTATGGAGACTCAGCTAAGCAATGTGGCTACTGTAGAAGTTATCCAAGACTTACTTACTTTCCAAGTTCTCTGGTTACATCCCCAGAATAGCATTAGGGGCAATACAAATTCTACCACAATGTCCATTAATGATAGATTATCCTGACTTTAAAAAAATATGTTCCAGGTCCTGTGACTTCCCCTAAAATGTTGGATTAAAACTATGTTGTTTAGGTCAAACATAGTTAAATGTCAGCATTTTCTTATGAATCAAACTAGTCATAAAGGTCCACATTGACACTCTGGGATTCCAGACTTTTAAGATATTTGGAGCAGAAATGGTATCAAATTTGCAGGCCATTGATAAAGAAGAGTGGCATGCGGTAAATATGAGGGGGGAACAAGAGAACGTCAAAGCAATGTTCCAGTCGCAGTCCTTGAAGACTGTGCACGGAGAAAGTCAGACTGCCTGCCCAGCCCAGAAAAGGTATCTCTAGAGTGCCCGAGCGAGCCAGTGGGTAGAGAAGCCTCCCAGGGCACAGGACATTTGCAGGCCTACCTGTGGGACCCCCAGCCAGTCGTCCGCCTGCTGCATGGCTTCCCGAGCATTATCCACAGGCTTCCGCGGGTCCCAGGATTCCCAGTCTGGGCATAGACCTGTTAGCAGACATCAAGTCACTTTTAGCATTTACTCCTTCACTCTTTGCCATCAAGTTGATGCTGGCTCATGGCCACCCTAAGGGCAGGGTAAAACTGCCCCTGTGGATTTAGCTGTTTACCATCAGCTGATTGATTAAAAGACATCGCATACCTAAACTAAATTTTGATGTGATTATCAATAGGGGTAACCCGCTTGGTCGATTACTTTAGTGAATGATGCCTTGTGACTCGCAGTGAATTATATATTTTGTAGCCACATGCCACCCGCTTCACACACACCCAAAAAGTCCCAGCTATGACCGGGCAGAGAGGGACATTATTCTGCACTAGCTGGAGATGTCTCCTTTAGGTGGCTGTCACCTTGCACTGAAACAGACATCAGGCCGTCCTTAAAGTCTGCGATGTGTGTATGTGGCCTATAAAACCATTTGGGCCTGGTGCCTTTTTGCAGATATCTGACTCATTCCTGGACACATCTGAGAAGACTGGATTAGCCTTCTGTATGATTCAAACATCCATTTGCTCAGAGGCAAAAACCTATCATTATCTTCAAAGCTCTTTCTTAAGACTGTAGGACTGGGGTACAAAGAGCTGAAACTGGTAAAACACTATCCTAAAACGGGTCTTTGAAAGGACGTAGGAAGAAAGCCCTGGGAGATGAGATCATGCTCAACTTGAATTTGCTCCTGTGTGCCAGCAGTTTATACACACGCTCTAGAATGGCCCTCCTTCCCTGCCAGCTAACACCAGCTGGTTCTGCTCTTGAGCATGATGAGAACCTCTAGCTTGTAAGATATTAATTAACATGACTGGTGCGCATGCGTGTGCGTGTGCACCCTCACACACACGCACACCACTTAGTATATGGAAAATGTATTAAAATAGATTTTTCAAAATTAAATATGATCTTTTTGGTGGCTATAAATACGGGCCCTAGAGCAACAGTTCTCAACCTGTGAGTCATGACCCTTCTGGGGGTCGAACCACCCTTTCACAGGATCACCCAATTCATAACAGTAGCAAAATGACAGTGATGAAGTAGCAACGAAAATAACTTTATGGTTGGGGGTTCACCACCACATGAGGAAGGTTGAGAACTACTGCCCTAGCGCATGTACCAGCAAGCACTACCCACCACGCTAACCCTGCCAGGGAGGAAAATTGCTACCTTGATGTACATTCAACCACTCAGGAACAAGAAGCCCATCAAGGGCGTTAATGCTCCAACTGGATCCTCACCAACCACTATTTCACAGTGTTGTGGAAAGCGCAGAGAAAACCATAGAGCATGGTTAATAAAAAATGGGTACTTTCTGCTCAATGGAAGTTTTTAGATTTTCATGCCAAGCCACCCAATAGAACCACATGTTTCTGCCGAAGCCAGCAGGAATCCAGGCACCAACTGTGGGGAGAGGCAGGCCTTCGGAGACTGGAAGCTAAACCCCAGGCCTGCGCCTAGTCCCCAAGCCTTCATTTGGCCATGTAATTGGATTCAGTGCTCAAACTAGCCTGGGGATATACCTCTATGACCTGTCACCGGGAGGAAATGCAGCCACTTTTAGTTCCACTCGCTGTTCAATGGTAGGTTAAAGTTGGAGAAATAGACCAATCACAGCATGCCTGGCTTTCCCATTGAAAACATAGAGGCCTGGAGCCCAGAGGCCAGCACCCCCCACCCCCACCCCACAAGGGTCATCCAGGGAGCGGTGGGCACTTACCTGGAGCACAGCTGTCTACCAGGGCTCCCAGGGCTTTGCCATCTTGCCAGTTCTGGTTGAAGTTGGTGATGGGCAAGTAGGGGATCTTGTTCTGGATCCATCCCAGCAGTCTCTGCTTGGGCGTCTGCTTCTTGGCATCATCGTCGCCCTCATCCTCCCACACCGGCATGGAGATGGAGTAGTGGAGGATCAGCGTCCACACCAGGCCCAGGATGAGCTTCAGGTTCCCATCCACGACGGCTTTGCTGTCTGCGGAGAGAGACAGAGGCTTGTCACTCATCTGGCTTACTCGAGTGCCGATGGCGTTCTGGGTCACCGAGAGAACTACATCTTCAGGGGTTAGGGGAGCATATTGCGGTACTGAAGAGCGTGCAGAGGCAGGGTCGGGAATTCCCTTCAAAACGCTTGGAGGTGAGAATAAACTGCAAACCAAATGAACAGACTCACAGCAACCCTATCGGACAGGTGGAATGCCCTGAGACTGACTCTTGACAGGAGTAAAAAGCTTTGTCTGTCTCCCGAGGAGCTGGCTGGTGGTTCCCAACTGCTGACCTTGCGGTTAGCAGCCCAGTGCAGAACACTGCACAGCACCAAGGCACCTGGACACAAGAACAGGCCAACTGACATTGGCAGGCTGGGTGGTGTGCGTGTGAGGAGGCTCTGGGCTGCTCTACTTGGATGCATGCTTAAGATCGTCCATCATTTTAACAAGGTTTTAAAATGTTAACACTTCAGTAGCAAAACTCAAAAGAACCAGTTTCAAAAATGGGCAGAGGACTTGAATAGACGTTTCTCCAAAGAAGAGACACCAACGACCATGAGCACGGGAAAGATGATCGACAACGGCGAGCATTCCCGCTACCGCCGAGTCGACGCTGGCTCCCAGCAAGCCTGCACGGGGCTTCCAAGACCGTCCATCTGGCTCTCCTTACAAACAGCCAGAGGCAGAGCCGGTGGTGGGTGGTGCTTCTCCCGTGCCAGGGTCCCCACTTCACACTTCAGAATGGTCAGTGCCTACTGGAGAGTAACTGGC